TGCTCTGAGTGGACCATATGAGACCAGCAGCCTCTCATGTTGGGTTACACACACACACACACACACACACACACACACACGCACATGCACACGCACACGCACACACGCGCACGCACACACACACACACACACACACGCACATGCACACGCACATGCACACACGCGCACGCACACACACACACACACACACACACACACACACACACGCACACGCACACACGCGCACGCACACACACACACACACACACACACACACACGCACACGCACATGCACACACACGCACGCACGCACACACACACACACACACACACACACACACACACACACACACACACAGCTCGCTTTAGTAACTGACCCAATGATACAGTTTCCTGTTTATATTTAGTGGCGATAAGCTTCTCTTAACTTCAGGTTGTGTAGATTAAGTGGAGTTCAAGCTAACACTGGTGTGATTAAGAGAGACTGATGACCGATTTTGCAGTCCGACCCTGAAGGCAGCATCTCCCTGGTTTCTTCGACAAAAAGAAAAGAACGATTTTTCCATTGGATTTTGGAATATCGCAGAAAATAATCATAAATGTTTATAATACTTAAACGTTTAGTTCAGCAGGATAATCTCCACTTTATGATCTCTGAAGTAAAAAGCTAACGTGGTGCTATAAAGAAACTACAGTACACCGTCAACACTGCTAAGATCGCAAATGTTGGGCATAATGACGTTTAGTCGTCTCATTTAGACACTTTCTAGCAACCACCATTCTAAAATTCACCAGTGGGGTATTTACTGACGTAGTTGATGTCGTAGAATACAAATATTTTCAGCTTGTGTTATCCACAGACCCTATTTCAGGCTAACAACCAAAAGATCATTCAGAAAAACATTGACCTTCCTTTTCCTTTCAGCTTGTTTGTTCTTCATCATATCTCGTTGCTGACTGGTGACCACACCTCAGCCTGCAGCGTGGAGCTGCTTGTTACAGTCCATCATCTCTGTATTCATCAGCTTGTCTTTAACAATCCTATATCTCCTGACATGACTGACACACATCTGTATAAGATTGCTTATGTTGAAGACTGTGTCGCAGACAAGACTGAACATGTTTCTGGATCCAGTCAATTCCTGTGTGTTATTGTGCTTTAACCTTTGTGTTGTCTTGCCGTCACCTGTCTGCCGTTCTCCTGGTTTGACTGTTCAGAAAGCAGATAGTATAAATCATCACCCACATCTTTAAGTTACGCCTATTAAGCCAAATTATTTACAAGTCATCAGATCAGAAAAACATTTATTTTTGCATGATTGATTGATTGATTGATACATTTTATTTCGAACAAGTAAAATAAATAATTACAAAACAAAACAAATGTTGCAGTGCATACTGTAGTCATGTAAGAGAAATCAAAACAAAAAATGACATTTACAACAACAACAACAACAGCATTAGCAACATAAACAGTCCCACATCTAGTGTTCGAAAAGGAGTGAGAAGAAGTATAATTTATTTAATCTCACCCCCTTGTCCCTAAATGATTTATTTATAATCTATAATCTGCAATAATTATCATTATTATTAATTATTATTATTATTATTATGAATCTGCTTTACCTGTTGATTGACATATATACATATACACATATGTACATACACACATACATACACACACATACACATATATACACATATATACATATATGCACATATACATATACACACCTACATACTCACACATATACACATATACACATATACACATATACACATAGTCAAACACCTTCCCCATCCCTGTACCTCGAGAAAATAATTTCTCTGTATTTCCTCTTGAACTGGTGAATGTCTGGACATCGCTTTAGCTCCACATTCACACTGCTCCATAGTCTCACTCCACATTCACACTGTTCCATAGTCTCACTCCACATTCACACTGTTCCATAGTCTCACTCCACATTCACACTGTTCCATAGTCTCACTCCACATTCACACTGCTCCATAGTCTCACTCCACATTCACACTGCTCCATAGTCTCACTCCACATTCACACTGTTCCATAGTCTCACTCCACATTCACACTGTTCCATAGTCTCACTCCACATTCACACTGTTCCATAGTCTCACTCCACATTCACACTGCTCCATAGTCTCACTCCACATTCACAGTGTTCCATAGTCTCACTCCACATTCACACTGTTCCATAGTCTCACTCCACATTCACACTGTTCCATAGTCTCACTCCACATTCACACTGCTCCATAGTCTCACTCCACATTCACACTGTTCCATAGTCTCACTCCACATTCACACTGTTCCATAGTCTCACTCCACATTCACACTGCTCCATAGTCTCACTCCACATTCACACTGCTCCATAGTCTCACTCCACAGGCTGAGATACTAAAAGTTCTTGATCACGATCACAGACTGTATGTCTAAGTTTAGTTAGGATACTGTTGTGAAACCATTTTAAACATGAAATGGCTGTACATAATGACACCAGATGCTGTTCATTTGAATAAATGTACTGTCTTGCCATAGCAGTGGTGGAAGAATATATTCAGGTCCTTTACTTAAGTAAAATGGTTTCATCATGCAGTGTTGGAGAGCATCATAAGATGTGGTATCACTGCCTGGTATGGTTGCTTGACAGTTCAGTTGAAGTCACAGATCGCTCCCCTGGTATAGACAGCCATGAAAATGATGGGGGTTAAAAAACATCCATCTCTCAGAAACATATAAAGTCCATTATGAGACAGGCACAAAAAAAAATGGATCCCACCCACATTCTCCACCCAGAATTCAAGCTGCTACCTTCTGGTAGAACACATGTGTCAAACTCAAGGCCCGGGGGCCAAATCAGGCCCTTGGTGGATTCAATTTCGGCCCTCAGGATAATTTCTAATTCCTATTAGATCTGGCCCTCCGGTATATTGCACGCACACCTTCACTCCATCCTGAGGGTCTCCTCAGCTCAGAGCCTGACCCCAAACATTGATGACCTTGCACCCAAGATGAGATGCCAAGTATCTGAGCTAGCATCACAGAGCAGCACACTGAGTTGACATGTTTCCTTCTGCACTTTCTCTCACGACAACAGAGCATGTTTGGTTTGTTCTTTGAGGGAAATAGTTTTGTTGAAGCTGTTGTTGGCCTGTGGAGAAATGTACTCATAAGAAATGACTCTGGAGAAGCTGCAGATAGAGCCATAAGAAATGAATGCAACTGATTATTTAATGTTTAATGTTGTTTTTATAGGCAATCATTGAAGCTTTGTTAGTTCCAGGTTTAATATGTGCAATAAGTTCATTTCAATACGTTTTGCAATAAACATTGAACATTAAGCTTCTCAACACTCACATGACAAATTTCCTTTCGGGGACAATAAAGTATATCGTATCATATCGTATCGTAACAGCAAATACAGCACTGTAAAAAAAATACTTTTAAACATAAAAGTACTGCTTTGAAAAGGATACTCAAGTAAAAGTAAGTATAATCAGCAACGTCTGCTCAAACTCAAAAGTAATGTAGAAAACTCTAAAATAATAATAATAAAAAAACAGTTTCCTCAGTTTTTTTATTGGAGGTGATGTTTTACATTTGATGAATCATTTTAATAATAATTTCTAATTCTCATAATTATTTGTATTTCTTCCAGTTTCCTCAATTGTGGGCTTTTTACTTTTCTTTCATAGTTTTATCATTTGTAATTAACATGAATTTTTTTTTCCTTATGTCTTGACTTGGTTATTTTAATAATATTTTGTTTTTAACATATTCAATTCATTCATATTTTTTTTTCAGTGTCCTTGATTGTGGACCTTTTGCATATTTTGCATTCAAATAAACTTTTTTTTTCATGGTCATTCTAAAATAAGTCCCACTCATATTTGCCATGTTTTTCCGCTGCACGTCCACAAGTCACAGATAGTTTTAAATCCATTAAAAGCAGCTCAAGGACAAAGCGCTGCCTCTCAGAGCATCCGGAGTATTTCAGGTCCTGTTAATATGACTTCACAGCTAATTAGAATTTTAATGAGACTATTTTTCACATTTTTCACATAAATCCCAACGGAAACGTTCTTCTCACGGTGAAACAAAACTTATCAGACGATGTGCAGTCACATTGAGACGTAAATGAGGGTAGTATGAGGTCGTTTAAGATAGATGTTTTGAAACAGGTTTCCTATAACAATACAGTATGTAAATGCACATCTTAATCACATTAAATAAGTCAAGTTAGAATACAGCCAGACAAAAACAGCAGATTTCTTTATGATTACTTTTAAGGTTTTTATTATGTGGATTTTTTTCTAATTTATACAAATATTTTTAGGTAAATCTAGTTTTTTTTTTGTTGACAAATGTAATTTTGAATAGCTTCCAAGTTGCATTAATGCCGCACCGATTTCTACACTCAAAAAGTAGGTTACTCTTCTTTGTATGGGAGTTTTGAGCTGTATTTTATATTTTATATGAATATTTAACTGAAAATTCTGCATTTTTTTTATATCATTCTCTATCACTAGCTTCCATGTTATCCTAAACCTGTGTCAATAGAATTTGTTTTCTATCATTTGGGAATATTGTAATGAAAATGTTGCATTTATTTGCTGAAAAATGTTATTTCTTTCAATACCATCCAGAGATGAAGTAATTACAAACACGACACTGTACATGTGTACAACACGATGAAGTTAAGGAACTAACTGTGTGTGTGTGTGTGTGTGTGTGATTACAGTGTGCTGTGCAGAGTGCTGACTCACTACAGTTTAGGATCTGTTTGCACTTTGCTCTTGTGTTTGATCATCACTTCGTGTGGGTGGAGAAGAGTCTTAAACCAACAGATACAATTCAAATAGGAAAAATATACAGCACCATGGTTCACAGTGCTATATATAATAAGCAATATAAATGTATGGCTCCTGATGTAAAAATTAAAAGCATTGACCAACAGTAGAATCACTGACATCCAAGGAAAAACATTTCTTTAAATAAATATTTTATTTGAAAATAAATACATTTTCTTAAAATAGAATCAATAACATTACAAAAGCTTTGTGGAGGTGGGACAGGAAGAGGGGGGGGGTTACCCAAATGAATGATGTGTTGTAATTTGGAACAAGGAGTACAATCTCACACGTTTATCTACCATCTGAAGACGCCACCACGCGTACATTCTCATCTGCATTGTGGGAAAGTGTTGGCATCCCGAACATGCAGTCCGCCCATAAACCATCCCTTAACCCACACTGAATCTACACACCAGTTTGTAAAAATGTAGGATATAATCTCTCGTTAACACATCGAAAAATCAGCCACTGATTTACATTTACATCTGACAATGTTTTTTATCGAAAAAAAGTACCTTAAAATGTGTGTTCACCTCTAGTCTACAGTACAAAGATACGATACACAAGAAGGCTGCGCTTTGTCGTACAGCGGTAATCAGAGGTCTCGAAGGCCAGGAGGATTTTCTGCGAGCTCGTAGGCAGGAAGGCGTCTCTTTGAGTCCAGTGTGAAAAGGAGGCAGATCTTCAGAAAGACAGAACATTGAGGAGCGATGCAGGAATGAGTCCTCAAACCGGGAAACTAGTTAGCATTTTAGCACTTCTGGGCTACCTTCAATGGTTTTTGGAGCGTGTTTTTGGTTGTTAGCCTCAAATAAGGTCTGTGATTAACACAAGATGAAGAGATTTTATTTCTATGACATAAAATACGTCAGTAAATACCCCACTGGTGGATTTAAAAACAGCGGTTGCTAGCAAGTGTGTAAATGAGACGACTAAACGTCATCACGCTCAACATTAGCCACCTTTAGCTTAGCGGTGGTGACGTGAAGTCATGTGACCGTGCTGTAGTTCCTTTATAGCCCAACATTAGCCACCTTTAGCTTAGCGGTGGTGACGTGAAGTCATGTGACCGTGCTGTAGCTCCTTTATAGCCCAACATTAGCCTCCTTTAGCTTAGCGGTGGTGACATGAAGTCATGTGACCGTGCTGTAGTTACTTTATAACCCAACATTAGCCACCTTTAGCTTAGCGGTGGTGACGTGAAGTCATGTGACCGTGCTGTAGTTCCTTTATAGCCCAACATTAGCTTTGTACTTCAGAAATCATAAAGTGGTGTTAATATGTGGAGATTTTCCTGCTGAACAAAACGTTTAAATATCATAAACGTTTGTTTGACACAGAGATTATTTTCTGCATAATCCAAAATACACAATGCTACCTTCAGGGTCGGCCTACAAAAATACGTCATCTCTGCACCACTCCACATCGCCGCCCTGACCCTCTAACAGCACCACAAATAGCTTGAAACCAGTGCAGGACGTTTTCTCTCCACCAGCCGACAGCAAAGCAGCAACCTCGACAAAAACCTAATTACCAACTGCACAAAAAAAAAAGCCCTACAGAACATGTCCGTGTTATAATTATTGAGTCATTGGAGAATGTGCAAGCCGACCTCAATTAAGACAAGTGTGTGAGAACGTGTAATTTAAATGTAATCAGTGGAAAAGCAGCAGAGTAAGCTAATCTAGGGCAAGAACAGAATCAATGCCACAGGTAGCAGATTTAAATAATGATTAAACTAAGTGCCGCAGGGAGGGGGGGGGATGCATCCACACATTGTGTCCACAGTTTAAGACCTCTCTCCGATCTCCTTCAGCTCCCAGGGTTTAAGGGAGGATGTCGTTCAGCGGGTTTTAAAATGCCTCACTGCACTGACCACACAGACGTGCACAAACAACACGTGCACAAACACACTTCTTTTTTTGTCTTTTTGGAAATAAAAACCCATCTCAGATCTGTGACTTCACCCTTTCTTTGTTTGGCTTTTCTAGATCTTGTAACAGGCCACAGTTATTTCTCCCTCATTTAAGATTATTGTAATCCTGCTAAAGCAATAACCCCAACATTTTCTTTTGTCGTGGAGCAGAGGCCATTTTCTAAAAGATAAATGCTTTGTTTCTAAGCCGACTTCTCGAAGCAATGCGATACTTTCCCCGATGATTCAATCACAGTTAATTAGCGCGGAGCAGATGCGGTGCGTTTAATGATTGCTGATTTAATCCAGAGTCAGGTAAATGACACTGAATGAATCAATGCAGCACATTTCACCCCAGATAAACCTCATCAGCAAAGATCCTCCTGCCTTTCATGGAAATGTGGACGTTTTCCTTTTTTTGTAGGAACTCAATTTTTGAAGAGCCAGCCTTCAATATGCACGTCGGAAAAAAGAATCCCTTCATCCTTGTACAAACAAACTCAAGAGGACTACCTTTTATAAATGTCTCTGCTACTGTTTGAAGGTGTCAGTTAGAGGATGTAGCAGATCCCGATGGACAGTCTTTTCAGGCCTGTGTTTGTTTTAGATATCCCAAAGCCTTAGCAATGCAGGCACATGTGCTGAAGGGCCAGATGGGTCCAAACAGGACGCCTCGTCAATTCAGCCGAAGATCTTCCTGGCAACGGCTCAAAGAGGAGAAACCCAGTGTGTTTTCCTCAGTGTCAACGTAAAGGCGGCAGAAAACACAGAAACAGCCGAACAACAGAACAGAGAGATTGTCTCCTCCTCGCTGTGCTACTCATTCTTTGGGGGGGTCGTCCAGTCTTAAAACAAAGCAGCTTGGTTCTCAGCAGCTCACCGTGCTCGGCTGCTGTTTGCACACAAAGTCTGAAATGAAGTCGAACTCGTTCTGTCCCAGGTAGAGCTCGGGCAGCTCCTGAACGCGGTCCAACCCGAACTCCAGCACCAGCGACGTCAGCACCTCCTCGTCGATCAGATCCATGTCAGTGTTTTGTCCCTGAGGTCCTCCGAGGTGCTGCATGCCTGAATGAAGCTGCGCCGGATTCACCCGGTACTGAGCTCCGTTCTGCATGTGGTGACCGTTGGAAGCCAGAGGGTGTCCGTGGTACTGCGTGTTGAGTTTCTGCAGGTGCATGCTGGCCATCAGCTGCTGGGAGGTGAGGTTTCCGGGGATGTACTGCTGTGGGTGTCCCTGTTGCTGTTGTTGTGGATGCCCCTGTTGCTGTGGTTGTTGTTGTTGTTGTGGGTGTCCCTGTTGTGGTTGTGGTTGTTGTTGTGGATGCCCCTGTTGCTGCTGCTGCTGCTGCTGCTGTTGTTGTTGTTGTTGTTGTTGTTGTTGTTGTTGTTGTTGGGGGTGCATGTGGTGCTGCTGCTGCTGCCCGTTGTACATCATGTTCCCGGACATCATCTGGTGGTGGTGGTTGGCCATCGGAGCAGCGTTCACGGGGGCCATGCCTCCGGGGCCCACCATGCCCTGCCGCTGCCTCATGGCGGCCTCCATGTTGCTCTGAGGGTTTCTCCCATAATGCATCACCTGGCCATTGTGCATTGTGCGCAGGCCGGGCTGACCCTGGTGCTGAGGGGGTCCGTTCATGCCCATCCTGAAGCCGTGCTGCATGGGCATCATCATGTGTTCAGCCATGGCCTCTATCACCCTGGAAAAAAAACGACACAGAAAATTAGATTTCAAATATAACCCATTATAATTACAATATGCATTATGCCTGAAATACCCATGATTTAAAGGGGCCCAATTCTGCTTTTTGGAGTTTCCCCTCTCTTGTCAGGTGATAGAGGTTTTAATGCATGTAAATGATCTGCAAAGGCTAACATCCCAGTGTTCCCTCCAGAGGGAGTTTCTCCCCCCCACCCACCCACCGCCTGAAACGCCTCCATTGGATCGCTAAGCGGTCGACAAATCACAACAGAGCCGGCCAGCTAACCAATCAGAGCAGACTGGGCTCTGGTTTCAGACAGAGGGTGAAAAGAGGTGCTGCAGCACAGGCAGTATGAGAAAAATAAAGAGCTTGTCACAGTAGAGGACCTAAATACAAATATGAACCTGAACATGAGCAGAATATGTCCTCTTTAAATGGGCCAATTCACAATTTCCCTCATGAAGTGCAGCCTACTCAACACCAGCAGTGCTACTCAGCCTGGTTTCATGATGTTCTGTGTTTTATATCGTACTAAAGTGAATATCTTTGGACTTTGATAATTGACACATTTTTCTGACATCTTAGAGACCAAACTATTAAACCATGAAGTTATCCACAGATTCATTCATGAAGGATGATAACTGTGAGGGCTTTACAATATAGACAAGACCCTATGGGACATTTCACTATTAGAATAGTTGAAATGTTCTTGTTCTGCCCCAAAAGAGCCTTAAACAGGAGTGAAACATACTTTTAGTACTATTTGTATATGACAGAAAGATGAAAAAACGATATCTTAAATGCACAACATTATCCAATAAATGTCAGAAACACCCCCAAAAAATGAGGAGACTGCACTGTTGAGAACATTAAAAACATTACAGTCGGCCATGTTTTTTCTCCAATTGGTGTTGTGAGCCTGGAAAGCTAAGATGTGAAAATTAGAACATTTGACCAGAAAGAAAAATGAAATCAGAGTTGTCCAAATTGCAGAATTAGGATCATTTAAACATTGTAAAATCAAAAACATAAATTGACTAATCAAATGAATCCCATACATCCCCCAAAGCCTTCGATGTCACCAGGGTTTCCTGAGTTTGCTTGATATTTTGCGCATATTTTAAACCACATTTTCATCACAAATATGAGCATTGAAGAGGTATGGGCGATCAAACAAGTTAACAGCCACTATCCAATTGCATTATAGGAAATGCAGTATCCAATGCCTTGGGATTTTTACCCAAACTAGAGATTAAAAATCAAATATCTCAGCTTCAATTCAGCCCACTAATACTAAAGCACTGGAGTTACCCTTTAAAAACACTCAATCTCTGTTGAAACTCCTCTCCCTCCTTCTCTAGTTTCTATTTCTCTTCTTGAACCACATCAGAAGTATCCTTTTTTTTAAAACACTAATCTCTAACCTCCACACCAGTGAGTGTATTATCACACCGACGAGGGAGGGCAGTAATACCCTTGCTTGCAGCCAAAAGGACGCAGAGGAATGCTCCCCCTCCCCAAACCAGTCATTACAAAAAGATCCTCAATTAAGATTACCAACAGATGACAAACAGATCACACTGAAACTCTAATGTGCTGTGATTGGCTTGTTAAAGCGTTAAGCGATTTTAGCTGATAAAACAAGACACTTCCCTGTCCAATAAAACCCCGAATCCTCCTTAAAATCATGCTCTGGAGCTTCTCATTCAGACACTTGAAATTACAATATAACACAAGCATGATGTACAAAATGTACTGTTTTTGCCTCTTCACTGCTTCAATTGAATCCTTCTGGCTGATAAAACAAGACACTTCCACCTCCAACAACAGACTAAATCCTCCTTAAAATCATGCTCTGGAGCTTCTCATTCAGCCACTTTGTAAATGACATGAAACCTCTTTTTTCTCTGCAAGGTGAAATTCATTACTTTATGATCCTCCAAAAATGAACAGTTTTTACCCCTGAACCGATTAAAGCAATTGAATCCATTTAGCTGATTTGTAAATGTCCCTGCTGTGGGACAAATAAAGGAATTCTGATTCTGATAAAACAAGACACTTCCAGATCCAGTAACAGCCTAAAGTCCTCCTAGAAATTATCTGATTCAGCCACTTTGTAAATGACATTATTACACAAGCTGCCATGTAACGCTGCAAGGTGAAATCCAATCATTACTTTATGATCCCCCCCAACAAAATTAACTGTGTATCTACCCCTGAATGCTTGGAGCAATAACAGCCTAAAATCCCCCTTAAAAGCATGCTCTTGTTACCTAATTATATCGCTTTTAAAATCCAACGAAAAGGAACTGTGTTTCCCTTACTGCTTGAATCAATTGAATCCTTTTTAGCTGATAAATCCTCCTTAAATCAGGCTCTAATGTTACCTAATTATATCCGTGTAGCTTCTCATTCAGCCACTTTGTAAATGACATACACAAGAAACCATGTAACGCTGCAAGGTGAAATCCAATCATTACATCAAACAGTCCGCGGTGCGAAACCCTGTTTAAGGAGGAAACACAGGAATAAAAACAGCACCTACCCGATGTTTAAATGTGGATTTGTGGAGAAGTTTCCGTAACGGAGGGGGGTCTCTGTGCAGCTGGTGATCCGGCTACATGCAGCCCAGCAGCGGATAGGAACTGTGCGGCGTCTCGGCAGTCAGTTTGTTTTCTGGGTCAACTCAGGGATTATATGCATGTGGTATAAAGCCGAGAGAGGGAGAGATAGGGAGGGAGAGAGGAGGAGCCAGCGTCCCTCTTCTCTCCTTTGTTGCCATTGGTCCTCCCCCCTTAATCACTGAGCAAAGAAACACTCACTCTAACCTCCACTGATCCTCCGAGCAGCAGATCACTGTGACCGGGGGAGAGAGATCTGTGTCCGGGGAGAGAGCTGCCTCTAACCCGCCGGCCTTCGCCACCCTCTCCCTGTAATGATCCATAATGATCCATACTGTGTTACCGCCTTAAATATGTCTGTTTATATTGCAGCTTGGATCATGTTTAACGACCACTTCCTGCTCCTGAGAAATGATATGTTGACATGTTGCATTACACTGGGGTTGATCTATGAACACCTCTATGAAATCCTTTACAGAACAATACAATAGACATATAAAGTCAACAATAACATACATCAAATCATGGAACATAAGACCTGATAAGAAGAGTAATAACTTACAATATCTGACATATTAAGTAAGAACTCATATTGAATACCAAATATTAAACCTATTTACACCTCCAGTTGAATAAGCTACTGGCTGTGACTGAAAGCTATGTTGCATGACACCAAAACAACAAGCTAAAAGAGGCTAAAAAGCTTCATAAAGTTGTGCGAAAGTGCTGAAGTTAAGTGATCATTCTCAGTAGGGTTAATAACACCTTTCACATTACAAATTTGATCCATTATTCAATCATCAGGATCCTTTATTTATCACAAAATAGGGACATTTACATTGTAACAGGAAAGGGAATGTGCAAATAAGAGGAACACACAATCAGTAGACTAACAAATCAAAAAAGTAAACTCAGCTTTAATAAACATGTTTTGCAGTCCAACACTTGATTTACCGTTCTCCCAAGATATTTCTGTGCTATGTTATTTGTAAACGTTTGCTGCAGAGACTCAGAGGAACACGTCTTGTAAGCTTCAATTAAGTTGGATTGGACATGGATTGAATATCCGCAGGGTTAAAGTGTTATGTACAAAAAAATCTATACAGGTATAAAAGAAACAACCTTATCGACCAGAGGGAAACAATTGCCAATGAACATTATCTCTGCAGCATTTACATTCCCTTCAGAAAGTGTTAAGCAAAACCACTTGGTGTAAATATGTTATTTTTAGCAGATTGCACAAGCACACTGTCGAAGCCAAAACCAACACAACAGAAAATCCCACAAAATACAACTGTGGTGGTTTGGAAGAAATGCCAACATTACCCAAGCAGAATTGGTTTTGTCTTAGGGATTCTTATGGAAATTACAATTATAATTTGTCAAGATTAAAGAGTATTTTGACACTTTTTAACAATTTATCTGTTAGCTATGTGCCGCTCCAATATCAATGGTTAACTTGGCAGTGAAATATTTACAATCCAAAGGTTAGACATCCTCAAAATAGTGCTTTCACGTGATTTATTTTGTACCACTATCTGAAAACATACTTACATTGAATACACTGCACTTCTGTGGGCTATAACTGACCTTACTGTTTTCTTTTAGCTCAGAGAGACTCTGTCCCCAAGAAAATGTCAATTTTTAGCTTCATTTTCATGGAGTTAAAGCAAGGTTGGGTTATGTTTGAAACAACAAAAATGGCATAACCTTCCTCCTTCAAAATAGAGCAATAAAAGGCCCCACAGTCAATTCAATCCACTTTTGCTGCACCAGGCTAACTTGGTACTAAAATTGCTTTTCGAAGCTGTAGGGAAGAATTGACACATATTCAACCTTCCTGTCGTAACACAAAGAGTAATATTTGACCCTGTCGGCAGGTGAAGGTGTCCTGTCAACAGTGTTACTGACGTCTATATAGTGAAGGTCTAAGGTATTTTCTTTAGTCACATAACCACATAACTGGAAGCCAGACTAGATTGCCAATTATACTCTGTTAAAGTTTGTTTCCGAAAGTGTTATAAAGACTTTAGTGTCACCAAAACAAGCTGTGTGACGCCCCAAAAACTAAAGGATTACAAAGTTAAACTTAAAACAATTATTTGGACTTGGAGAAAGAAAGAAGTGACTTTACCAGAAATATGTAACTAGCTGCTCCTTTCTGCAGACTAGACGTGTAAGGCATTAGGACAGATGGAAGACTGACTGAACTGTTTGCAGTCCAGTTGCATTGAAGAAAAATACATGGAAATCAAAAGAATATCTGCTGCTGGTGACTATTTTGTAACTGTTAATTGTAGGTCTGACAATGATATTGGAATGCAATGATACAATGTTAAATAAATGCTGTATAATATCACTATAATAATTATAATAGCTAGCCTATCTGAAATAAAAACGGTATTTCCTGGAATGGCCACTTGAGGCTGGCTCCAAAAGCGAGTCAATCCCCATAGACCTTCATGTTAAAATTCCCAACTGTACAGCAGAAATAATAGACATGTTTACAGCCAGGTACAAAAAGCTGTTACGGTCTCCATCGCTACTTTCCCTGTTCATGACAACTGTACGGCGGTGAAATGTAATATAACTCAGCCGTTTAAATGATGTTCAGACTTAAAGTGCTGCATCATTAGAGGCGTGTCTGCTTTAGGTGACACTGATCTTGAACCGAACCGTAAATTGCATCTTAATCACGGACATAATATGTCTTGTTGTATGTCTAACTGTACCAACCAACTGTCTATGAAGCCTGTGCCCCGGTGAGTAAAGTTATTATTTCATTTAGGCCTTTACGTTAGCATTAGCAGGTAGCAGTGTCTGCGCTCATTATACCTGGCTTGTTAGCTTAGCCGTTGTACTAAAACACACACAAAGATGTGGGTTGTTTATTTATTCAATGAAACACATTAGAATCACACCAATTATTTTGTTAACCAACATTATAATACAATAGAATTTTACAATTAATATCACATTTAACATGAACTAGGGACACTTTGATAACCAAGCTAGCTAGCTAGTTAGCGCTAGCTTGTAAAGGTTTGTTATGCTAACGGGAACTAACGTCCATGTACTCAAATGTGTACTTGAGTACAGTACTAAGTTGAGTAAATGTATTTAGTAACTTTCCACCACTGCATCTTTATAATATTATATTGTAGAGACTGTCATTCTCTCTGAAGTGCTGCTGCAATCAAACTGAGTAAAAACGTCCCCACCCAGCCTGATGGTAATACCTTTTATATAAACAGTCATTGGTTAATACTAGTTTACATCTGAGAAACAAAAGGAAATCAAAGGCAGTAATCCACACGGCAATCTGCCAACAACACCAACATCTCTTCAATGGAGAGCATTTTAAATCTTTAAGACTAACTCACTTACCACTACTTAAGTACGGTTTGAGCATTATAGTCGGCTAATCCTTTAGACTAAGAGTATCAGAAGAGTTTTGCAGTCATAAACCCACCACATTTATCTATTTCTCAGTCACCTAAATACAGAAATCTACCCAAAAAATATGTTGTTTCTCAATGACTCTAGGGATAATGGTTTAGGTTATTTAGTTATCTTCAAACAACATTACATTAGATGTTACTTGTTAGACGCTTTTATCCAAAGTGATTTACATACTCAATACTGTGGTCAATCCCCACAGGAGCACTTTGGGGTGAAGTGTCCCAGGGACACAACGACATGCTGACTGCAGTGGGGTTTGAACCTGTGCTCCCCTGATCCGAACACCAACGTACTAGTCCACGACGCCACAGCCTCCCTACAACAAGCACACTACAAGTTAATCCACTTTAGATTCTTTAGAGTTTATCCCTCTGTTTTATGTGGAAAAACTGCGAATGACAACTTCCCTGCCTCGTGCACCAGATTTGAGTTTTGAGTCAATTTCGCAGAAACAAACCCCCCGTGGAGCTAACTATCCCTTAAACACTTATGCAACCGACTCATTTATGTCTAACAAAATCAATTAAAATCTTTTTACTCAGGGTTTTAAACAAAGGTCGAGGGTCAGGGGCCCTTCAAGGGGTTCCAGACAGGCATGGTGGAGGAACAGAAGGCTACAGGAAAACAGCATAAGCATATTGCATTGCTTGATATTAAATATGACTTTTAAAAATATGGTTTCTGGCTTTGAAGCACTATATTTAGTGTTTTATATCATTAAAAATTAAAATGTGAAATTCCAAAATAGGTGAAAAAATAATTGAAAGTATATTATCTTTGGTTAGTCTGGGCGCTGGTTCCTAGCAATGAAAACAAATAGAAATTCAATATGCATTTATTTTCTTTTTACCAACATTAGTTGCTGTTTAGCACACGTTACATATATGTTTGGGATTACAGATAGCTTCAGTTATTTAGTCAATGTAGAGGTGATGATTTCTGAATGGTTTTACTGTTTCTAAGGTTAAAACATGCCATGAATCCACATCTTATCACATTAAAAACGAAATATTTATTTTCAGGTTGAATTTCACCTGAGATCAGTTTGTATACTGCATGAAGCTTTCACCCCTGATTTTCTCATTTATTTACTATCTTCGATTTCATTTGCATTGGTAAAACCTAAGAGATACTGATAAGCCATCGATGCAAACGCCATTACCTTCCCCTTAATCATGTTTTAATAACAGCAAATCTTGTCGTTTGCAGCCTGATGGAAATTGAAGCACCTCCAGCCAGCCATGCAGTCCTTTTGTTTTGGCCTCCCTCCCGCTCTCTCTGTGTGGAGAAAGTCAAACCCCCTCAGCAGGAGCTTGGTATGTATTCCTGTTGACACACACACACACACACACACACACACACACACACACACACACACACACACACACACAGACACACACACACACACACACACACACACACACACACAGACAACACACACACACACACACACACACACACACACACACACACACACACACACACACACACACACACACACACACACACACACACACCCTCCGCTGCAGAGGAATGTGTCCTATTTTTGGGCCCCTGAAGTCAGCTCGACTCTCAGCCTCTTTCTAATGCACCGTTCACTTGACCATTGTGTTGTTGTGTGTTTCT